GAACTGGCGTTACGTCGGTAGGGTTCGTAACGATGTTGCGGGAACCAGATCCCCAGTTAGAGTTAGCGTATTGTACAATAGCGTTCCATCCAGGAACTGAGACGTCAATTGGTTTAGCAATCCGATTGTATTGGCAAAAGGAGCACTTACTGGTTTGAGCTTCGGTAACAGACAGCTGTGCGCATTGGCTGGCGTCACGACGCTCAACACCGCTGGACTCAACATCGACCGGATACCTCCCATAGAGGGAACCATCGCGCTTGAAGGCAAGGTAGTGTCCCTTTGCCTCGTCGACGGCGATATGGGTGATATCTCTGGGAAGGGATCGGACAAGCTGACTGAAAGGCAAAGCAGTGACGCCAGAAAGGGCAGTCAAGAAAGTAATAAACTAGACAGACATTAGCATAGTCTGAAGACCAATAGGGGAGATTAGTACTCACAGCGGCAGCACTGAACATCGTGTAGGTGGATGTAAAGGAGGGTAGAACAAAAGGACGGTCGAACAATTAAAAGACTGTCAAGGAATTGAAAGTAGCGAAACTCGTAAAGGAGAAGGGTGTGTTGATGGTTCTCTACGACACATTGCGTCCTGCTTTATACTCTAGACGCTATGTTTCAGGATTTCATGGGTGGCCGAAATTATACAGTAAACTACTCACAAGATGTTTCGGAGCAGCGCGCGCCCTCAGGCGCTCATGTCGGGCGTGTGGACTTTGAACTTTCAGGACCTGTTTCTGATCGACGTGATCACCCAACCCTATCACTAAGGTGTACTGCACCGCCTGTAGCATGATGCGCTAGACGAAGATCGCCCAGGCTGGTCTTGAGCTTCGACCATAGTAACGGTCACCGTCTGCTCCAGCGACTCATGAGTTCCAGTCATCCGTAGGCTTCAATCATGCGTACAGCAAGGTTCATCCTGGAATGAGGACCGCCCTTTTGCCCTTTTCCTTTTTCCTGAGGGAAACGATGAACTCGAAGGCTGCTGAAACAAAGACCTAGTTATTTACTTACGGCGCCAGCTCAGTCTGGCCACCCCTCGCCGATGCGTCGAGCCTTGACACTGTTACGAAGACACCAGAGCCATCAATCATTGCCAGTGACAGGTCCTGTTGCTCAAATGTTGCCGTCTTGCCGAAACCAGTTAGAGATTCATACTGCGACACACCGGATTTCGTGCAAGGTTGTGTATCGTCAGAATCGTAGCAATAGTTAAGATTAAACCCTGAAGCTTGGGATTGAATGCAGGGGTAAGGTCATATTGCTCTGTCTGTCGTCCAGTCCGTGACGGAATAAGCCGAAGGAAAGTTGGTTCGGGTGGCGGTGTCGGCTATCCTAAGCCGATTTCGCACGCTACAGGCGCGTCAAAGAGCCCTCCTCCTTCCTCAGGTCACCCTCTCACCACGGTATCAAGGGCCGCTCTCCGTCTCCTGTATTTTCCTGATCATCTCAAATATCCAACCATTTACCTTGCATCCAGTCACCATCCACCAACTCGAGATATCATGCCGTACGCGATTCGAACTGAATGGCAACAGAATCTCCAGAAGCATTTTCCTTGAATGACCACTGTCCGACCATGCCTGGTATCAGTTTTGAATACACACAAGCTTCGGTGGATCACGTCAACACTTACAGCTATGTCTTTTCAAATAAAAGTCGAGAGTTTCTTCTTGGTTTCTTCTCCTTAAATTTAGGCTTGCCACTCTTCCTGATTGTAAAGTGAACCAACTACGTAAATGTGGGCATCCTGATACGCTCATGTTTTACAGGAAACATTCAGTAGGGAGCACCCACAGGGTGTGCTAAATACTTCATCGAACGAGCATCTAAAGCTTTTTTTTTTGAAAAGCACCGGAGACATCCAGTTCAAGATGTATGGCAAATAATTATTCGCATCAAGCAAGAAGGGTAATAGAAGCCTTCTTAGCGATGGACCGCGACACAAGCGAATCCATCAACGAGACCGCGGGAATACTACATATCATTTGGACTACCGACAACTTTTTTAGCATCCCATTTTCCAATCTATGCCCGACTACCCAGTATATGCTCCTCGTTTTGGTTGCGGCAACCTAAGTAAGGTGTATGAGTCATTCGGTATGGGGTACTGATGGTTGGCGGTAATGTCGAAACTGCACTCCGTTCCGGTATCGTCTTTGACAACGAGCTGTCCGACCCTCGATATGGGTATACCCTCGGAGTGTCTTTCCTCAGACAATCCTCGGACGACGGCCAATTCAACAATGTATCCATTGTAGTATGCATTGGCATTCGTCTTACCATCCTGATCCCAGCAACCGAATTTGCAGATTCAAGTGCCGTTCTCGCAACGGAAGTGTCCCTGACATGGCCTGCCTCCATGATGGTCGCCAGATTCTCGTTCCATCACCGGGTTCGGGATAGAGGAAGAGTAAATCCCACTGGCACTGGTGTGCTGCCACATCCACCAGCGATGACCACGCGTTCTCCTCAGACTGTGTTCCACAGTACGCTGGGATAGAATCCGAATGCAGAAGGTACTGCCATACCGGCAACTTTGTCCACAGGGTTTGTCGATCTTCGCTTCTGCATCTGTGATAGAAGACCGTAGACGCGGTGTCGACCACGTATCCTTTGCAGTCTTATCACTTCCCTCTCAGCGCAGAGCCGTGTATTTTCATCGCCAGTGTCTCCACCAAGAATCATATGCTCGCTGATCTCCTGCAGGGTCCATGCACGCTTGAACCAGTTGTTCGGCGAGAGATCTGGCTGCATATCCAAAGGCAATCCTAACCCGCTCAAGTAGCACACCACTTTTTCAGCCCCGGCGTAGACGGATCCGATGGTGGGAACATCCACCTTCCATTCCTCTGCACGCAGATCCTCGGACTCGATCCGACGCCCATCTACCTGTCTCAAACACAACACATCCAGCCAGACATATTCTGCACCCAGATTGAGCAGCTCAATCCGGATGCGATCCAGGGACGTGTATTTGGGGATGGGCACGGGCCACTCGTAGTCATTGATGGCTGTCGAAACGTCCTTGCGAAAACATCTATCCATCCAAGCATGCGATATTGCCCACGGCCTTCGTCGGGCGATGCACCATGGCACCACCCGATTACTATACAAATCCCATACACGTCGAGGAGGCACATGCGGGTAGATGATCCTGTCAGTAATGAGTACATCTTCCAGCATCTGTTGGTACTGCACTTCGCGCCGAGATAAATCATCTACCAGAGTGGTCAAGTTGCCATATCAAAACGGGCGGAGACGGGCATATGCGGTGCCAAAGTCATATTCCTTCGAGATGTAGTGCTCAAGAATGGAGCGTATGCCCGCAGTGCTCAGTGTGTATGATGTGCCAAGTATGGCATTGAACTGATTCAAGAGTCCTTGAATGATGTACTCGTCACAGGAAGTGTCAGCGAGATCGGATGGTATGACGGGCTTCCTCCCGGTGAAAGACTGTTGCTTGTCAGTGGACCTTGACCAGGGTGAGGACACGAGGCTGATATCAATAGTGACTTCGGGAAGACAATCATACTTGAGGTGTGCCTGCGTAATTCGCTATACGCTATACATTATACACCGTGCTTCTTTTGATGATCCTAATCACTTACCTCTTCATCGTTGTAGTTCAGGAAGAATAACATCATCATAATAGCGCTCGAACCATCTCTCCCTATCCATGAGTATTCCTGATGCGAGCCGCAATTAGGACGTTGAATATTGCAAGTGACACAAATGCACGTACCTTTGGGAGGTCAGGATGTCGATGGGGTGTGGTATCCGGTTGTGATTGTGCAGGCTGGACTAAGGCTGTACTCAAATGGTTTGGCACCGAGTACTTCAGTGTGAACGGAGGCTGTGCTATCAAGCGAGATAGACGCCCAGCGACCCAGGAACCTGGTTCCTGCCCGCATGAAGAGGACGAGTTATTGCTGAGAACTCAAAATAAGCATAGAACTCATAGATATAATTACTTGAACAATTCTTTCCCTCAGTGTTAACGGTCTTGAAAGAAATAGTTCTACACCCACGGGGAATACCAAAGACTGACGTGGACGTGATTCATGGGCATCATGATGGGGGCTGAGCGCTGAGCTTGTGTCGCTACTGCGATCATGATCATCACAGCATGCTCCCGAAATAAGTTAGGTTGACGAGTCTGAGCCTCTTCGCTCCCTATTTTATGTGCATATTGTGGTAGGCCATCTATGTGCAATATGTAGCCTACCTGATTTTGATGTGAAGAAGGATCTAACCTGTGGACCCATCAGCGTGAATGATATGATTTGCCGTTCTCTTACTGCCAGCGTCACCTTGTCCAGCAATCATTGCACAAGATCGACAGGGGTAAATATCTCCTTGGGACTGACTCAGCACACTGGGGAACTTGTTGAAATCTGGAAGAAGGGGCTGCATTTAATGTAAGATTAGGAGCGAACCGTCCCTTCGTCGGTATCCCCATCCTTGGCAATTAAGGTTCTAACGTGTCAACCACAGGCTTCCTCTGGCGACGACAAATCTTGGGGTGATTGACTGCATCCTATGAATCAGATCAGAAACGACCATCGTAGATCAAACGAAGGCAAAGACGCATGTTCGTGACCTTCCTCTGATCCTGAGCAGATTGAACCTTAAACCTGGTACAGGTCGCTAGTAGCCTCCCTCAAATAGACCGAGATTTTAAGTCTCATTAATGTTTGCAACAGGGGCATCCGACAGGAGGAGGAAAACACCATTCAAGAAGGTAGCCAGTGAATAATTACATTCATTTTCCCAGTTACGATGGTGACAGATTGGGATTTCTATCCTGTAGAGTAGAGCTGGTTACGTAGATTATCCATGATGTGCATATTTCTCCTGTAGACAAAGGAGTCGGAATGTGTTGACAAATGCCAGATGGCGTAATGATAGATTCCTTTCGGGCATGTGCTAGATTTTGAAAATAAACTGAAGTCAGCGTATAGACCTCATATAACACTGCCTTGAGGTACTTACGCATATTTCTGATAGTATATCGGTTAGTACACGCGCCTGTCATAGTGCTTGTGATACAAACATTCCGCGCGAAAGCTGGGTTCGACTCCCAGTCAGAGAGCTGACGTTTCCCATTTCTTTTTTGGCCATGACCATGATTCGTGAACCCCGGGGCCCGGACTCCTCGCGGCGGGAGCGGCGCTAACTCCTGAGTGGTGACGCCTGTAGTAGAGAGTCCAGACTTAGGACTTGCGCATGGCACATTCACGGTCCACGGAGGCCCTGAGTAACTATCTGTTAGTAGTAGTATTGACACCTCCAGGGAAGTGGTAAATTACCGTTACTTACGTCCGTAGTGCATGGCATTTGTAGTGCCATTTTCTTTCTTTCTGGATTGCAGTGATATCACTGCATATGTATAAGTCTGCCTGAAGAAATAAGATCAACAGAACTGATAATTAATATTTGTATCGTTGGTAAGTTACCTCAACCATTGAAATCCCTTTCAGTGAGGAGAGGTAACTTACCGATTATTAACTAAATGTACCGAAGCTTAGGTCTCGTACGCTACCCCAGCGTAGGCTGGAGGTTTTGACACTGGAGCCTAGGAGTATAGGTGGACCGCGGCACAGGACACCTCCAGGGGGTTAATTACCACTTTGTGCAAACCCGGCTTCCCCAAGAAGGGTTTTGGTACGACAAATGCAAATTATTTTCCAGCACTTCTGCGTATGCGTATTCTCCTAGTTGTATATCGCTTGAAAGAATTGTACGTATAGGCATGTACCTCGCAAGGAGAATCTACATGCCCGTCATTGGTACATGATAGGTTTTGTACGCTACCCTAGCGCAATCTACATGGATTTCTGGTGGACTGAACATGCACAAAAAGTTTAGGCAAGACGTTGAAAGTTATAGTTTTTTTCCGGCGAGGATGAGTCGCTATCTCAGCATTGACAGCACTGAGCAACGGTGTTATCGTATCAGATTGTATTACTCAGTACACTAGTGTGCCGCTGCCGCCTGGCAAGTGATGTGACTCTGAGAGACGATTTGGGCGTTTCTCTGCTTGTTCGCAAGTCGGCAGCACGTCTCAATCTGAGCCCGGGTTTCTGAAAGAAAACAATCCCGGGGAAATCTCCTCGTAGTAACATATCGCATTTGTATTTCGCCAAAAATAAATCAAGAACCATTCGAGAGACGATGCTCGCGGCTCATGGATAAATATCAAGTGAGTGGGGGAAGATGGAGCGAACACAAAGAAACATCTCTGGCCAAGAGTTAGAGCCAAAACATCAATGTCCACGAAACGGTTATCATTATCCCCGCTAGAATAGCGCCTTCTTGGATTCCGCTAGTTGTCGCTGCATCGGCTTCGGCAGCTGTGGCCTCACATGCGGAGTACACTGATGTAGTATAAGATCGAGAACAACGGACGACACGACCTGTTTAGTACTTACACTCATCCAGCTCCGAGAGCATGGCCTCCTCGTTGTCACCCTGAAGCCGCGCTCGTGAAGCAGGTAAGACAATTAGACACGCTGGCATTGTAGTTGGTCGAGCAGAGGCAAGAGCCCATGCTATCTCCGCAGGCCTACACATTGAAGCCCCCCGTAAAGCTCAGACCCCGGGAGAACGATTATGCGCAACTCACAACGATGGAAACGAGGACTTTACAGTCGGTCGAACAGGTATCGGGGATGTATGAGATGTTGACGGCGGAAGTGGCTGTTGGTATCGCGATGGAGGATAGGGAGCCAGGATGGTAATCCCTGGCCGAGGACTGCAAGGGGAATGGTCACTATCATCCAGTTCGAAGGTCAAAGGCGAGGAAGCGTACCTCCGTTGATGTTAACGAGCGACAAGCATAGGAGAAATAACGGTACGGCGCTCAGCATCGTCGGCGGCGGGTGGGTAAAAAAGGTAGTAAGAGATTAAGTTGACGAATCGATGGAAGGAACCATCCTTTCAGTGTCATCAGAATTCCCGACCACACGTATCCGCAGTCTCCGGTCCATCAACGAGCTGCGAAGCCGTGGAATCGCGCCGTCGTGTTTGGCACTCTTCTTCCTGGTAGATGGTCTTGGTGATGACGGCGTGATTGCACGGAACGTGTTGAATACCGAGCGTGTTCAATCTTGGAGCGCCTACGACTGAAGGTGTGTCACCGGATTGAACCCACAGACGCGCAGCGTCAGTCAGGCACTTGCGCAGTGGTTAAATGATCAATTCACAGACAGATCGGACAGAGAGCTAGAAATAGCTCGGGATGTTTTATTTATTACATCGCCGGATATGTTGCTTCTAACGCTGTGATCAATGGATATTGTACGGGAGACTAGGCGTATACAAGCGCACCTTGGGCTGGAGAAGCAGAGCTGCCTTTATGCAGACTATCAGCGGCGAGTGTAAGGCTCGCTCGTCTCCTTTTGCCGATCGACATGGGAATCTTCTCATGTATCCTGACATGACATCGAACGAATGTCAAAGACAGGATGTACTCTTCAGGATATGTTTAGCACTGGGATAAGGCATACTGACCGAGTATTTTCCGATAACGATATCAAAGGAAGATCGTTGAAGCTATGTTAAATCGACGGCATTTCACTACGTCGCTGCGGCACAAGACGAAGGCTTGTGTATAAAAGGAGACGCTCCTAGAAGACAAGCTGGACGTCCGTCTTGTCCGCGATATACCGGTCCGGTTCCTTTCAGTAACAAGCTTTCCTTCCGGTCTACGCGAGACTCAAACCAGCCACCTGCACTGGTCTGAAAAGCGGACAGGACTGGAATACACCGTCAGTGTTCAATTCGTCTTAGCTCATAAAAGGTTCTTACAATTCTCGGTGCCTCAAGCACGATGATAATGCAGATTTGGCCGGGATCCTTGACTCGATACTTCATCTGAATTTCCGACGTTGGTCTATTCTTCAATAGAGTTCGAATATATTCTGAAGAATGATCGTCCTAAGAATTGTTCGGCGTAAACAGGATATCTTCGCGGTCATATCTTCGTATGAGAGTAATCAGGTCAGCACCCGTTGGCATTCAAGGATATGTTACACTCTTTTTCATTATCTAGTCAAACAACCTCTCAAAAGTCTCAGATCAGCAGCAACACAGTACAGTCATCAAGGTAAATATTAGATTACTTGAACTGCAGATAATGATATCAGTATACGATGAACGATAGAGCAGGGGAAAGACATACGTTCTTTCCATCAACCCACTTCTTACCACCGAGCTCCAAATCCCACGCCAGAGCACCCTCGAAGAAGGCTTTCTGCTGCTCGTCCTTCAAATCGAGCTTCTCATACTTGTAGCTCTCCCAATCAGGAGCGACATCTACGACGGGGCCAACATCCTGGCCACGGAGAATGAGGACACCGCTGATGACGCTGTCGTTGGTCTGGCCTAGGACGCCGACGGAACCGAAGAGGTACTTTCGCGAAGCCTCTAGACGGTTGAAGAACCCGCCAATCTGGTTGGAGGACATGAACGTCTGAGTGAGTTCTTCGTTGTACTTGAAGTCGACGCGGTAGATAGAGAAGCCTTCAGCGTCAAAGCTAAAAAATAGTGTGAGGGACGGGAGATGAAGAGAAAAAGATGGTACATACTTTTGGTAGAACCACTCGAGGGATCCATTAGCTCCGCGGGTATCCTTGTTGGAGTACGCCCGTTTCCAGTCCTCGAGGTTGAACGTCGACTTGGGAAGGTCGTCGAGGGGGTTCTTAACCTTAGGCTCGGGAGGAACGTCGGGCTCTTCAGCATCGTCCTCGGCCTCCTTCTTCTTCGGTTTCTTCTCCTCAGCCTTCTTCTCCTTGGGGGGAGCAGGAGCTTTCTCCTTCTTTGGTGGGACGAATTGCACACCCTTCTCGGTGTAGTTGATGGGGCCATAGATCTCCTTCAGCTGTGGTTGGTTGACAATAGTTTCGAGGTGGCGGATGAGATGGGGAACCTGGGCACGGACAGAAGCATCGATGCTGATGCCGGCGCCAAATTGGATGAAGGCAGCGACGCTGAGGTCAGCAAGGGTGATGCGCTCGCCGACGAAGAAAGTGTGCTTAGCAAGGTGAGCGTCAAGACTTTTGAGAGCACGGAGCTGTTTCTCGAGGAAGTAGGTGTGGGCGGGTTTGGAGTAGCCGGCGATTTGGCCATTGCAGACGTGGTTGGTGAGAACGGTGTAGATGTCGACTTCACTCTCGGCAAGGTGAATCCACTGGTCAACTTGAGCAGCTTCTTCTGGAGTCGAGCCGAGCAAGTTCGAGTTGGGAGCTTTTGAGGCGACTGGGAACCGAATATATTAGTATCCATCGTAACGGAGAAGAACAAAGTGATCAGAGAATTAGAAATGCTGTCGACACAGATGTTAAGACAGGGATAACTGAATGAATGAATCTCATCCTAGTAAAACGAAAATGAATCGCAAATTTTCGCAATTACGCACCGTATCGAGCAATCGCAGACCACTCAAAGAGCAGGAAATCGCCATCCTCCCATGCTGGGATCTTTCCATGGGGGAATTTGCCCAAGAAAGGAGGCTTCAGATTGTCTTCATAGTGTGTATAGGCGTCCGGGAGCTTAAAGGGAACTCCTCCAATAACAGCTGCAGCCCGGATCTGGACATCTTTAGATATCGATATCAATCAGAGCCACGCTATACGTACCGGCTTGCCCTTTGGCTGACGGGGAATCGTCCACAGGGTAGGCGTCGACATCTTTTAGTGCGGGAAAATGAAAATCTGAAGGTCGTGAAGAAGGGCAGTGGTGAGGGAACGGGATCAAGAAGGAAAATTTTGTGATTCAGAAAGGTACGCCATCACGTGCTTCATTTAGGGCTGGTCAACAGAAATCGATATCGATTCACGTCTTCTTTGCGTCTTTTCGTCAATTGATTATCCACACGCGACTAGGGCTTAGGGAATTGCGCAAGCATCACCCTGAGAGGGATAGTATGAGTATCTGTCCGATCATTCTATGTCTGAGAATACTGTTAAACACGTAGCAACCATAGGGTAAGTACTAAAAGTTCTAAGTATGTCTGTCTATTTTCCGTCCAGAATCCCTGCAGCTTTCTGACCTATTGCAGAGGAATAGTGACTAGATCACCGGAGACTGAAA